CATATGGAAGAGGGAATGTCTTCCCATGTATGCTATCTGGTGTAGGCAAATCTGATATAACACCACACATCCACTTGCATTCAATAAGAAATTTAATGTCAAGGGTTAGTGAAATCTGGAAGGTAGCAAACATAGATGATTGTACTCAATTTACAAGAGACAGGATCCTGAGGTAGCTGTAAGCATGTAAGCTACTGTGAAGCCATAGTACAACAGAGAACTGAGTTATAAATCTAATATATATATATTGCCTAGCACCATGGAGAAAATGAATTTACAGCACTGAGCTATCTTTGATAAAAGGAGTCTACTATATACATATTTACTTTTTAAAAATCCCAGTGGCACCTCATAAAGATATATTATTTGTCCAAATGTGAGGTTTCAAAGGAATGTTTTTGCTATTTGCTTCCTTTAAAAAATCCTTATTATTATAATACAGTAAGCTATATTAGTTTTTAAAAAGCAGGCTATTACCTTCAATCAGAGCATGGAAAAGTTACTTTTTCTGAATGGAATCTTCCATCCACTGATTTATGCTGACAGGGGCATGCTGGGAATGGCAATCCAAAAATTACTTTTTCTAAGCTCTGCCCTCTATATGGACTTTAACCATATAAGTTAAATTAGGGTGGCTTTTGTGGGGTTTTGGTTGTGCCTTTTAGCTTTTGTATATTTTTATGTGGTTCTATACTGTTTTAAGATAATTTTAATTGTTTTGAATTTTTATTTTAATGTTTGTTTTTAAATTTTCTGTGAGCCATCTTGGGTCCCTTCTAGGAGCTGATCAGCATACAAATGAAATGAAATGAATGAATGAATGAATAAATAAATAAATTTAACCATTCAATTGGTTATAACCAAATGCAAAAGAGTTACTTATTGAAATACCTCCTGGGCTCTATATTTCCTTAACATGTCCAAAAGCAACTGAAAACTTACAAAATGCTAGCAATCTCACTAACAAAAAACCATCCCCAGCCATTTTTGGATTCAGGTATTGCCAGTAAAAAGTATAAACTATTTAGAAACCACTACTACATTAAATACTGCCATGTACTTCTTTTGGGGAATTATACCTGGTGTAAAATCTAGACCAACAACAATAACAACAACAACAACAACAAAATTTATTTATACCCCGCCCCTCTGACAAGCAATCAGGGGAGCTTGCAACATTAAAAATTCTGTACAGAATAATACAGATCACATAGAT